GTATTTTATTGTAAGTATTGTAATGTATTTTGTTATGTAATGTAGTTTGTATCCTGTTGCAGGTTATGGTACTTATGAAATTGTATGTATCGTATTCTATTGTTTGTATTGTGTTGTATGTATTATATTGTATTTTTTATTGTATTGTTTATATTGTATTGTATTCAGTTTTGTATTTTGCATTTTGTATTGTATTTTATGTATTGATTTTCTATTGCACTGTTTGCATTGCATTGTATGTATTGTATTTTGTATTGTATTTGTATTGTGTTTCAAGTATTGTCTTTTATGTATTGTGTTTTATGTATTGTATGGTATGGTATTTATGGTATTGCATGTATTCTGATGTAGTTTGTATTGTATTGCATGCATTGTGTTTATTGCATGTATTGTATGTTTTGGAATGTATTGTATTGTACTGTATTTTGTATTGTATTTTATGTATTGGTTGTATTGTATGGTATGTATTGTATGGTAAGGTATGTGTTGTATGGTATGTATTGTATTTTGTCTTGCATTGTCTTGCATGTACTGTATGTTTTGTGTTTTATTGTATTTTATGGTATTTATTGTATGTATTGTATGTATTATATTTTATGTATGGTATGTATTGTATGGTAAGGTATGTGTTGTATGGTATTGTATGTATCGTACTGTATCGTATGTATTGTATGTATCATATTGTATCGTATCATATGTATTGTATATATTGTATGTATTGAACTGTAATGTGTTTGCAAATTATGTATTGAATTTGTATGCATTGTGTGGTATGTTATTTATTGTATTTTATGAATTGTATTGTGCTGTACTGTATTGTGTTGTATTTTAGGTGCTGTATTGTATGTGTAGTATTTTGTATAACATGGTATGGTATGTGTTGTATGGTAGGTATCGTATTGGATTTTGTTTTGTATTGTATTTAGTTTTGTACTGTATTTTGTTTTGTATGGTATTGTATATAGTGTATGTATGTAGTGTATTGTATGGTATGTAGTGTATGGTATGTATTGTGTTGTGGGTACGGTAGGTATGGTAGGTATGGTAGGGTAGGCTATTAAATGGTATTGTATGGTATTGTACTGTACAGTATTGTAATGTATGGCATTGTATTGTATGTTATTGTATTGCATGCTATTGTATTGTACGGTATGTATTGTATGGTATGGTACTGTATTGTATGTATCATATTGTATGGTACGGTATTTATTGTATTGCATGTTTTGTATTGTACGTATTGTATTTTGTATTGTATTTTATGTATGGAATGTATTGTATCATATATATTATATTGTACTGGATTGTATCTAGTGTTCTGTATCTATTGTATGGAGTGGTATGTATGTTATGTATTGTATTCTATGTATTGTATTGTATTTTGTATTTTATTGTATTAATTTTATTGGTTTTTGTATTGTATTCTCTTCTGTACTGTATTGTGTGTAGTGTATGCTATGGTATGGAATTTACTGTATTGTATTGTATGCATTGTATTGTATTTTATGTATTGTATTATTATTATATTGTATATACTGAATTGTATGTATTGTATTGTATATACTGTATTGTATGTCTGCATTGTATGTCCTGCATTGCATGTACTGTACAGTTAAAACTACCCCTGAAAGAGTTTTGATGGCAGATGCTGTTCTGTGTGTTTCGTTTTCAATAATCATTTCATTGAGCTAGAATTATTTCGATGCGATTAGGTGATGGGGATCTTCTTGCGCTGGTCTTCTGTTTCTGGAGCACGTCCCGACAGCCTTTGTCATCCAGAGCTTTCCTGTCTGCTCCCAAGAGGAGTGATGGCTACAATGTGGAACGACTCCTGTGAGTAATGGCTTCACCAGTAGGCTTGGATTTAGTCAATCCTCCTTCTTCTCCTCTTCCTCCTCTCTGTTCCTCCTCCTCCTTTTCCTCCTCCTCTTCCTCTTGTTCTCCTCCTCTTCCTCCACCTCCTCTTCTTTCTTTTCTTCCTCATGTTCTTCCTCCTTCTCTTCCTTCTCCTGTTCTTCCACCTCCTTTTCTTCCTCCTCCTTTTCCCCCTCCTTCTCCTTCTCTCCCTTCTCCTCCTCCCCCTGCTGTTCTTCCTCCTCTTCCTTCTCTTCCTGTTCTTCCCCCTCCTCCTCCTCCTTCTCCTTCTCTCCCTTCTCCTCCTCCCCCTGCTGTTCTTCCTCCTCTTCCTTCTCTTCCTGTTCTTCCCCCTCCTCCTCCTCCTCCTTATCCTGTTCTTCCTCCTTCTCTTCCTTCTCCTGTTCTTCCTGCTCTTCCTCCTCTTCCTTCTCTTCCTGTTCTTCCCCCTCCTCCTCCTTCTCCTTCTCTTCCTCCTCCTCTTCCCCTCTCTTCTCCTGTTCCACTTCCCCTTCTTCCTCCTCCTGCTCTCTTCCTCTTGTTTCTCCTCCTCCTGTTCATTCTCATCCTCCATTTCTTTCTCCTCTACCTCCTGCTCTTCCTCCTCCTCCTCTTGTCCTTCCTTCTTTTCCTTTTTATGTTCTTCCTGCTCTTGTTCTTCCTGTTCTTCTTGTTCTTTGTCACGTTCTCCATCCTGTTCTTCCTACAGTTCTTCCTCCTCCTCCTGTTCTTTTTCTATCTCCTCCTTTTTATCTTCATCCAGTTCTTCCTCCACCTCTTCTTCCTCTTCCTCATTCTCCTTCTCTTTCTCCTCCTCCTCCTCATATGCCTCTGCATGTTTATCGTCTGCATGTTCATCCTCCTCCTGTTCTTCATAGCCCTTCTCCTTATACCCCTCCTTCTCCTCCTCCTCCTCCTCCACCTCATCCTTCTATTTTCTTCTAGTTTTCTTCCTCCTCTTCCTGTTATTCTGTTAATCTGTTTACCCTTTTTATTCTCCTCCTCCTGTTCCTTCTGTTCTTTTTTCACCTTCTCCTCTTCTACTTCCTCCCCTTCCTTATCCTTCTCCTTCCTTCTCCACCTCCTCCTGTTCTTCCCCATCTTCCTCCCCCTCCTCCTCCTCCTCCTCTTGGTCATTTTTCATCTTTCTCCTCCTCCTTGTCCTGTTCCTTTTCATCATCCTATTTTTCCCTCCTCCTTATCCTCATCTTCCTTCTCCTCTGTGTTCCTTCTTCTCCTCCTCCTCTTCATCTTCTCCTACCTCATATTCTTCATTTTCTTTCTCCTCCTCCTCATCCTGTTCTTCCTCCTCTTCCTCCACCTCCTCCTGTTCTTCATAGCCCTTCTCCTTATACCCCTCCTTCTCCTCCTCCTCTTCCTCTTCTTATTCCTGTTCGTTTTCCTCCTGTTCCTCCTTCACCTCCTCCTCCTCCTCCTCCTCTTGGTCATTTTTCATCTTTCTCCTCCTCCTTGTCCTGTTCCTTTTCATCATCCTATTTTTCCCTCCTCCTTATCCTCATCTTCCTTCTCCTCTGTGTTCCTTCTTCTCCTCCTCCTCTTCACCTTTTCCTCCAACTTCTCCTCATCCATTTCTTTTTGTTTGTCCTCATCCTTCTCTTGCACTTTCTCCTTGACAATTGCATGAGGTTCAACAAGGCCAAGTGCCAGG